GTCGACGCTGCCCTGGCTCACGCCCCGCTCTCCCTGCTGCCCCAGGCGGCCCCCGCGGCCAGCCCGGCCGTGCTCGCCAAGCAGAGGAAGAACAAGAGCGGCAACCCCCTAGAGTTCATCTCATTGCTCATGAGCCTGACTAAGCGCTGGTGACGCGGCGGTCCCCTGACAAGCGCTGACGTCAGCAGGCGAATGCGGTGCGCGAGGCTTCTCATGTGGCGCGCTGTTCCAAGCCGCAGCCTGCAGCGGCGGCAACGACAACGACCCGGGCTGGCGGGCTGCGCTCATCGGAGCGGTCCCGGCAGCGTGTAACCAATGTTTGCTCTAACAGGCATCAGGAATTCTTCTGGCATCCTGCAACCTCTGGAGAGCAGCTGTCGTTTCTCAACACGGATGAGCAGGGGCGGTAGGGCGCAGGGGGATGGGCGAGGGCACCTGGAGGTTGTCGTATGGAGCCATTCCGAGTCTGGCAGTGCTGAGCGCGCAAGGGCTGGCGTGCCTGGACGGTTTGGGATGTCACCCAGCCGCCCCCATCCCCGGTCAAACCATTGTCAACAGCTGCCCTGTTTGCGCAGAGCTCGGCCCTTTTGTATGTAACAACGCGAGCTCAGGGCCGCGGCAGCAGGGTTGCAACCCCCGTTTCTGGCATCATGCCCTGCGCCTCGGGGCTGGCGTGACGCAATCATGCGGCGCCAACATCCGCGGTTGATGGGTTGAGCAAAGGGTGAGAGCTCTGGTGCCGTGGGCCTGTTTCGCCGCCCACTGCTGCACAGGGCAACGGCCTTGGACGTCCAATTGTCACAGAGCGGTAAACCACATATACCCCCTCCCGAAATGTCATATGCCTGCTGTTGCGGTCTGTGCGCTTTGGCCTGCCTACCGATTATGAAAGCACCGACCTTATCACGGGAAGGGTTGAATCCTCATCCAGCTGATGCTTAATCTGTAACATATTTACGTGGCAGGGTACAGTAGGTCTCGAATTATATTATCTTAGAATTCTGCCCAAGCCACCCCGCGCGCCGAGGAGCGCCAAGCAATTCAAAAGGGCGGCCCGAGCTTGTTTGAGCGCCACCTCAAGGAGATTTGGGCAATTGAAGTGAGTGGGATACATAGCAGCGGCACGCAGGGCTCTGCGGCTTGTACCGCGCGATGCGACGCGCGGCTTATGTGGGGTCCATGCACCTCGGGGCTCACGCCGCCGCTCTGGCGCAGTCTAGAGCACAGCAAATGCCGTCGCATCCCCACTTTACACACCTCCACCCGACTGCTAATGCGTACGCCGCCCCCACGCCGCCCCCACGCCGCCCCCGCGCACAGCCACGCCTCGACCGGTCGCCCCCCGCACCACGTGCCCCACGACGCCGCTCCACACGCAGCAGCCGACTCCGCCGCGCCCAGCGATGGCGTCCCCGCGCCGCAAGCACACGTCCCAAAGGGACGCCGACGCAGCCGACCCCTTTGCCGACGACACCGTGGCCGTCCCGGCCGCGACCGTGGTTGGCGGCAAGGCGGCGGCGCCGGATGCTTCCGGCTCGGACGACCTGGTGACCTGGGAGGAGGGCGAGGTCGTGCAGCGCGAGCGCAGCATCTACGACACCTGGACGGATCGCAAGCGCTACACGCTGCTGGGGCTGATGAGCTTCGCCACGTTCCTCGTGCCCTTCAGCGGTGAGCGCTCGGCAAGTGGATGGTTTTTTGGGCAGGCGCTGCTGCGGGCGGTCCTCTCTGGCGGGCGGGGCCCCCAGCACGCGCTCTGCCGGGCTGGGTGGCTTGCTTCCCGGCTGGGCTCGCTAAAGCACGTGCGGGAGGTCGCGCAGGGAGGGCGGTGGTACGGCGGGCGGCAGCTGTTGCCTGTCGCCTGGGTATGCTTGTTGTTGCAGCCGCGACGCCGGCAGCAGTTGATCCTGTATCCCACAGCTTGCCCCTGCGGCAGTACAGTTGGGCCGGCAGCTGCAGTAGGCACCCAGCAGCAGGGAGGGCTGCCTGTTTCAAGGTCAAACAAGACACTCCCGCCACGGCCGGCTTGCCAACTGCACTCTATTTGCCGCCCCGCCCCCCGACACATCACCCGTGACGTGCGCGCCCAGTTCAGACAACACACACACACACAACTGCATACCTACACACACAACTGCACACCTACACAACTACACAATCTTATCTCACCCGCCGACGCACAGACACCGTCTACCTGCCGTCCCTGACCGTCATCCAAAAGGACCTCAACACCACGGCCACGCTGGTGGGCAGAGCAGCAGCGCCAACCCCCTTCTCCATGCAGCGCCGCCGCGCCCTCAGCGGCCGCTCAGCCCTGGCTTGCGCCGCGCGCCCGGGCTCACAACGCCACCGTCCCGTCAGCCGCGGCCGTTTCTAGATCTTCCGCCTTGGCTCTCAGCGGCGGTGGGGGATTCAGTGACTGATCCCGCGCGTCGTGTCCCGCCTTGCTTCGCAGATGGCTGCGACCGTGGCGGTGTACCTTTTCACAGTGGGGCTGTCGGCGCTGTTCTGGGGCCCGTTTGCGGACCGCTACGGCAGGTGGGCGGCGGGCGGCGGCTGCGGCGGCGCGGGGGGCGCGGGCCAGCAGTGCAAGGTGGACGGCGGAGGCCGCTGCTGGCTGGGCTTTCTGGGGGCTCTCAAGAAGGGCAGCAGCCGCTTGCCAAATTCCGTGGCGAGCCGGAGCCCGGCCACCTCCCAGAGCAAGCGACGGGGCGGCTCGCCGCATTGTTTGCCCCCCTATCGGTCGTGTTTCCCTTGACCCCCGCTGATCCCTCGCGCCCCGCCCCGCCCCCCCCCAAACAAAACAGGCGTAAGTCTATGCTCATCGCCAGCTTCCTGTTCACCGCCTTCTCGATCGGATGCGTGTTCGCCCCCAACATTGCTGGTGAGGCCGGTCGGTCGCAAGACAGGATGCTCATGGGACGTGCGGCCCGGCGTTCGCGCACGCAAGCAAGCTCTAATGCAGCTCGTTGGCCTCTCATCTGTGCCAATCAGCGACCCCTGCAGCCGCCGCGCCTCCTGCACACGCGAGCAGCCTCCTCGCGGCGCGCCGTCCCCGCCTTGGCCGCACCCCCCTCGCGCTCCCCTGCGTCGCGCCCCTCTGACCTCGTCCCGCAACAC